CAATGCTTTATTTGGCTAAGTGAACTGATATTTATGTAAAATTTTTATATAAGAATCATAGATCTGATAATGGTCTACCATTATAGATAAGTAACTGTCAATAATCCTTATAAATTTAATAGAAATCATAAAAAATATCTTGTTAAAACTATGATAGACTGATAACAAATAATTGAAAGCAATGTTTGTTAGAAGTCGATATTGTCAGTTATTGTTTGAGTAAGGTTTTTGGTATGGGCCAGATTCTTTACAGCAGGTGTCTGTGACTTGTTGGAAATAAATTTCAACAATAAACAAACAGCCCAGAGACAAGTTGTTTTAAAATAATATATTAAAGCAAGTCAAAAGTATATACAAATGTTCGTTACACTGTTGGTTATCACAGTTGTATCTAGAGCTTTAAATAATTGTCAAATTCCACACAGGCTGGTTCAATTACTTTAGAACACAATTGACAAGATGAATTCTTCTAGTCTATTCTGTTATTACAAAACAATCTGTGATAATTTCACTTTAAAAATTGCCAATATACGCTCTTTACGGCTAAATTCACAATCACACAGTCTAGATCGGTCTTTTGAGCAACATTTTTAATGTGTATTTATACCCCAACAGAGGTCTAGAACATTCCACACCCTGCTATATGTTATGATGCAATAATAAATTAAAACAACGAGAAAAATTCAGAAAGGTTCTTGTAACATGAGGGTAAAATAAAAGAATCATCAATTTACAATAATTAAGCTACATTAAATATTATTTGTAGACAGTTTTGTAAACAAACCTGCAATAAACTATTGCTTTTAAAAATAACTAGATTTAACACTTGCACTCTATAAACTATCTAAATCATATCACTCTCATTAAAATTAAACTGAAACAGTCATATATATATCTAACAGTTTCAATAGGATCACTAAGGACCAAAACCTCATACGTGGCTCGATGTGTAAGTCAGGGACCACTGCAACTGCTTTTATGTTACAGCATTTTTTCTGAAGTGTTCTACAATGTTGATGTCTAGAGGCATCACTAGAAACTTAAAACATTTGGGACTTAGGCCCATAGGTGCAGGAATTTTTAACAATTCAGTATTATACCAATCATGGTTTTCTGTTCTGATTTTTCAAGACATCAACTGGGAATTCGGGACACTGTCAAATAAATTGGGGCACATGGCCCATAGGCCAGTGCCTAATGATGCCTCTGTTGTTGTCCCACAAAAGAATGGGAAGAAACAACACCAGGGGCCATAAACATACCAGCTGCACTAACTTCTTGTACAATATATAATACCTTTGAAATCTACTTGAAATCAATATCAGTATGTACCACATCATATAGCTTCCACTCATTATTTTTATGGCAGTATTTTAAAAAAATGAAATGTCAAGAGGAAAAGAAAGATCAAACACCCTTAAGTTCAGTTACAAAAATACAGAAACAATTAATGTACTTTCATACCCTAAAAGGGGTCATTGAAGAATAAATAAACTTTAAACTTAAGATAATTCCTTATTCATGAATAGTAAACAAATTGTATTTTTGTTGTTCCAATTCTCAGTAAAACACAAATATGAACAGCATAATACGATGTACCCTCCAATTTCTATAAAATACACTGAAATAGTAAATATAAATAATCTGTATATATGTTACAGAATGTGCATGGGAGAACTTGTTTCCCCTACATGACAAGCACCCCCTTACACTGTATGCTAACCAACTGCAAGTTCAATAATAGCCGACCCTAATGTACAAACTAATGACCATTTGTATGTGACCTTTTTCACTGTGAGTGACCTTGAGCAACATGTAGCTACTAGACTACAATATCTTAGGGTTAGTAAGATAAGGTAACTAACTGATTGAAATGGCTGAATTTGTTCAATATACTTTCCTTATACAATATTGAGGGTCAACTAGCATTTCCACAGATAATCCATATATTCAAAGTATGTGATAAAGTCATGTTTAGTGTTACTTAGTGTCTGTTATAAAACACTAATAACTCGGTTTGACTTTGATAATTCTTTACTTTATTATAGCTGCATGAGTGTTATGGTGAGTAAATTGACAGTTAAACTGAAACCAGCTATCAGTGATTTTATGTGGATATCTTAAAGGTTTTCAGAATGTGCTAGTGTTCTGAAAAATGTGAGAAAAGCATTAAATACATTCTCAGTTTGTAATCGTAAAGAATACAAAGAAACATTTTAAATTCACATGCATATAATCATGCATAGTACATATAAAATAGAGTTAACTTTTTTATTATTTCTTTTAGGGTTTTTAATAGACTTCATTGGGTCTAAAAATTGTGTAAGCAGAATACACTCTCTTGGCAATTGAACGACTTCCACCCCCATTTTTTTATTTTTGGTTTAGTTATTACTGCAAAATTTGTGCTGGTAAGTGGACAATGTAGCTGTAACTTGCCTCAGAATACTTGACCATGTGTTCTGTTGTACTAGTTTGGTATTGGGGGTAGTATGTAATCTGTTTCACTAATACAACAGTTTCAGAAAAGGAAATCATAGCTGTACCAAGTGACACAATAGGGACTTTTTAGACATAAGGAAAGAGGTATTTCTTATTCGTAAGAGTAACTGTCTCTCTTCACTTGATTTATTTTGTTTGTCCCAAATGTCATTACAACCTAGGATCAAAGACAATACCAACCTTTAGAAAACTACTATGTGACCTTGTTTAGGTGTCATCAATGTCAATACCAAACTGTTTTCCCTTGCAGAGGAAATGTATAAAGTATGTTGATTTGGATATATTTATCAGGTTTTTTTTTTTTTCAAATGAAGAGGACAGCTCGTAATCCCAATTTCATGTCTTTAATGAAAATGACCATTTTTTTGTTGGTTGCCATGTCAGAAAATGAGATGTTTTAGAAGCAGAATTAAAGTTAAAATTGCAGTTGATGTTGGGTAGCAATAATAGTTGAGCTAAACAGAAGGCTATGATAAAGTAATTACTATGGGGCAAACAAGATAATAAATGGATATATATGAAAGTTATGGAAGGTCAAAGAATTTTCAAAACCAACCAGTAAAATAAACTAAAGAAGTGGCAAAAGAATATACACATATATGTATGCTTTTTTTCCCAATTTCATCCTTAGTTCCAGTGAATTAGGGGTCGGCCAATAACTGCTGTAAACCTACACCTGGGTGGCAGAGATTCGAACTTGCGACCCTCAGATTGTGAATCGAGCATTCTAATTACCAGGTCGCACATACCTGTATACATACTAATAACACAAGTGTGATCTTTATATGCTGTTTATCATATAATTATTTTGATAGTGATAGAAAAGCTAAATATAAATATATAGCTACTACAGTATTTTTTGGTATTCCTTGTTTATATTTTAATTCATAATTGTCCAAAAATAACCAGAAGGTTTATGATGATTAGGGACAGAAAAAGAGTATTCTTTCAAATGAAAAGAAAACCGTCCTGTTTCGTGTGTCAAGAGAACTCCATATCCTTTTGGCACACTTGTATTTACACATCAACTTATATATTGAACAAATATACACTAAAAACTAAGAATTGCATGTGATCAACAGTTGTCAACCAAACACAATAGCCTGTTTGTTACCATTGGATATTTGGATTATTAATTGAACCAATGGCATTTACAGACTCTTCGATGAATAAATCTTATTTGCACAATTATTAACACTAATTAATACGTGAAAGCAATTTTTGACTGACCAATTACAGAAGTGTCCTTATGTGGTTTAACCTAGAACTGAATCTCAATAGTCACAATACACCAGATTTTCATTGAAAAATGGCTACCGAAAACTCCACCCACCTTCCATTTTTAAACAAATGAAATTACTAGCCAGTGGTGGAATTTAAATGCATTACTGCTGCCCTCTTAAGTCAGAGATTATTACTAGAACTGGGTGAATCATACCCTTAAATAACTGGATTTGTTAAGGGTAGGATTTAATATAACATATCTGTTTTATTAATATAGCACTAATGAGATGCTAGTTTAAAACTTTAATTTTTTGAAGAAACTGTCACAGCACAAGCTACTATATATTGTAATTATTATTTTTTAATGAAAGTACAGGTCTTGCAAAATGTCTCAGCTACAATATTACTAAAGTTTAACATTAGAGTATCTAAAATACAATTAATAAACAACAATACCTGATGGTTCAAAGAGCATGGACGGATCAGGATCATCAGGAAACCCCAAAATCTCTAACTCATCAACAGGGTTACTACTTGAATGAGGTCCTCCTCCTAATTTTGGTGATTTGATTCTTTCCCTTAATTTTTAAGAATCCATCAGTTTTTGTATTAAAAATAAATTTTATTCCTTCTTTACATACACAAGATTAAAAACTGAGCACCATAAAACATGCACTATCATATACTGTTAAACATTAATGCTATATTTAGTTTATTTAAATACATCTAAATGGATAATAACGGTAATATACAATTAAATGACAACATAACTCGTGTGTTATCAAACTCAGTGCAAATTTTTATTAAAAAATTAGCATATTTCTTAGTGATATTTTTATTAGGTAGAAAATTCACTTTAAAGGAAAGTTATTCAATATTACACAAAAAAATTGAAAAACAAAAAATAGATTGCATGACAAGTAAACCGTCTTCAGAAAATGATGCTGACTGAAAAATTAACAACAAAAACTAATCAATGTTTAATAAGTCAACAAATATAACATGTGGACATAAGTGAAAATGTTTATGTCTATTATATTTTATTCAAGCATTCTGAAACTGTAATGGCAGTTAAGCTAAAAAGTAAGCACTATAAAAGAAATGTTTCACAATAACTGATTTAGACAAATACAATTTCTCATTACAAGATACCAGTTTGGAAAATGTACCAAACACATTACTTTTTGAGAAATCATATTATATAAATAATATGAAAACAAAGTTGGCAACCCTGGATTATGTTTCTAACCAAAAAAAGGTAAATTACAAAGACACTGGTGGAAGCTTCAGAAAATCACACAAACTGAGTATTTCAAGTATGACCATATGGTTGTCACCCAGAATTATTTAGGATATTTCTTATGTACATACATAACTTAAGGCTATGATTCGTTTGAATGATAGTCTCAAATATATATCTTCATAATTATGAACTTGGAACTTTTTTTTTGCTTCTTGTTGGGAATAGGAATTCACTCTGAAAGATGGTTTTGAGTTTCCACAAAAAAAAAAATGCATAAAGTAATAAGTTAATAAAACTTACAGGGAAGTGTTGAAGTTATGTTTTTTTTTACTGACAGTTTTTAAGAATACTATACTGATACTTACTTGTTTGAAATACAAAAAGAACAATGAAATGGACTTTCCTATCCGTGTATTTTTCAAACTCGAAAACTGTCACTAAATAATTACATCATTCCAATGTGAAACAGCGAAATTAACGTTTCTAGTTGATTCTTTTTACATATGTTATCCATATATATGTGTTTGTTGGAGAAATGAAATTCTTTAATGAAAAAAAAAAGTGTATGATCCGTGTGAAGAGACTTTCTCCTGTTGTTTCAAATTACCCTGCACACATTATGATTTGTTTATTTAGATCAGCTAACTTCTGTATGCAAATAATGCAACATTTGCACCTTCTTTTTTGGGCAGTTTCTCGAACTATCTAATATAGACTCAATTTTAGGAAATGCTTACTTTTTTTTCTCAATTTGAAAAAACAAAACAAAAAACTTGTAATATATCCATTAAGTTTTACACAGAATGTAAAAACAATACATCTCTAAACCATTATTTAGCAAAAGTCTGTGCATCCACTTATGGAAGACAAGCCACCAGGCCCAATTAACAATAACAAAAAAGTTGGCATGATCCCTTAGGGCCCCTTGGAGTAACAAAGAGAGTTTGGCACTCACATCTGACTTCCCTATGTGGTGAAAATGTAAATCAGCTAATAAATCTTACTTCTGAAACTGGTCTGAATTTCAGAGAAAGGATTCAGATTTCTGAACTTATTTACTAATATATAATACTGGCTAAGTGTTTTCTACTTAAATATTACTAATAACAAAATTCAGCAAAAATGTGCATCTTTTAGAACTTAATAACAAACCTTGGATTTTTGGATGGACCACAATTTCGCCTTTCTGACAAAAACTTTAAAGACTTCTCTTGCAGAATATCATCACCATTTTTACAAGAGTCCTGCTGTGACTTTGTGCTCTTTTTGAATGGATTCAAACCCAATGTAGGTTCAAAACACTTCAGTTCACCTTGGCCTAGCATGCTTCTTTCACCAAGGTTACAGAAGGCACATACTTTTCCAGGCCTTAATTTGGAGTAAAGAAGTTTACAACTATTAATATTTGTTTGAACTAAAACAAAAAATTATCAGATCTTACAATTACAGCAACACATACAAGGTTTACTAATTAGTCCTATCGGTCACTAAGCTGGTTAATGTTATTTCTCATTGCATAATATATACACCTGGAAAAAAGTTAAGCACCCCCAAATATTTTTCAGGATTGCTTATTGAAAATAAGGTTTAATTTTCATGATGTTGAGCAATGTTCATAATTTCAAACATAATTAAAAGGATGTGAGCGTTCAGGTGTGATATTTAAAT